CCAATATGTAGTAGAGAGAAATAGCTGATTAAAAAAATGCTTGCATAACCATGTCAGGAATTCTTCGTTTCAGGCATGTGGGTGGGAATAAGCAACTAATAAACACCTATTATTGAGAGACCCTCTTTGAAAGGTATGCAGGACTATGTCTGCATTAGCAGCGAATTTGTCATGGTATGAGTGAATCAGTAGATTGAAGCAGTTGTTGCTGAGATTTTACTTATCTGTGTTCTGTGCAGTTTGGGGGAGGGGGGTGATAGTGTTACTTTAAACTAGATTTAGTTTGTCCTTAGGCTGAAACCTGTACATGCATAACTCTAAAAGTGAGTCAGTCAAACTGACATGACAAACATGAGAACAAAATAAAATACAATTTACCTTTAAAGAATGAATTTGAAAACAAAGGCATTAGTGCCTGTGGTAAGAGACTAGGTAACTATGTGTTAAGGAATAGCCAGCTCCTCTGTTAGCCATTCTGTTATAGCAGGCAAAAATGGTGCTGGCAGAGTTGCCGCAGGGAAAAAAAAAAATTCAATCCCAACAGAAAAAGGGGAAGTGTTGGAGGTGGGAGTCATCTTCTTAGTTGGGAGTTATATCCACTTAGTGTCCTCTGCTGCATGATTTTTCTTCACAGTGGCACTGAATGAAGCTTGATTTGATGTGTTAGCAAGTTACAGATGAATCTTTTCAGCTTGTAATGAGTAACAGATGCTGTGCATCTGAAGTTACTTCATCCTGAATGTTACACATCTGTCATTGTTGAACCACTGTCCTGATAAATTCTTGATTCTTTTTTCCTGAAAGTGAAAATAGAATGTTTTTCCTATATAGTAATAGAATTAAGCTTATTTTTTTAATAACGTGTCTTCATAAACTTCACATAAGTAATTCCAGGGCTGAAAAGAAACAGAGAACTATTGCTTTGTTGTTAAATCTTTTTTCTACCAATAGAATGGTAATGTGAAGGGGGGGGGGGGCAGAAATCATGTGGGTTGTATTAATCTTTTAAGTCTAGAATTTTCTGCACAGATAGAACTTTTCTTAAAAAGAGTAAGCTTGATCATCAGCTATGTTGGAAACATGTACCTGGGTACCGATATGGTAACTTTTACAGCACACTTTCTCGAAAACAGTTTTAAGAGGATGGCTGTGAATGGTATACAGCCTAATATCTTTAATAAAAGTGCTTCATGATGGTTTCTGTGATAATGCTTCACCACTTACTAAATATTCCTCCTGATATAATTGGTGAATTTATCTCTAATTCAGAAACACTTTTATTATTATTAGATCATGAAGTTGGAAATTGAAGAAATTGCAGCCCCAAGGTCATTCGTGTTTCTATGGTGCGGTTCAGGCGAGGGTCTGGATCTTGGCCGAGTGGTAAGATGATGTTTTAATTCAATTTATCAGGGACAGGCTTAAGAGTTTATTTTTACCGTTGACTTTTTCTGTATGGAATTCTTGACTGTTACTGCTGAGATGTTTTGTTACTGTGGTAGAGGATATATAATTTTAAGCGGATTAAATAAATGTAAGTATATCTGGCATTAACTGTTTAGATACTGTTATTTTCCAGATGAGTTGCTGTACCCATGTGAGGAAGCATAATTCTATAGGGCCTAGAAAGCCGTACTGTCTTGTTCTTGATGTATGCATCTTGCTATAGAAGCAGATTGTATGCATTTACAATGGAAGTCTTCATAGTTTTCTGCCAGAAATATTAATGCTAGCAGAAAGGTACTGCTGTTTCATAAAGTGGCATGAAATTGTGTGCACAGCACTGCTTATTTCCAGAAAACTCCTGGAGTTTTAAGTAGGTTTACTCTGTGAGCTCTGTAAAGTTACCTCCCTATAAGATCTTGGGAGTTTCAGAGTATGGAGTTTCTGTATGCTAGGGTAGCACTGCCTGTGCTGGGGACGGTGGAATAAGAATTTCCAGTTGACTCTTGCTGTGTTGAAACATTTTTTGCTTAGTTTGAGCAGTGATTTCTATTAAAGCAATATGTCATTTGTTAAAGGACATGTGGTTACTAATCTGTTTGCTTTATCTGCTTTCCATTCCGAGGTTGGTTAAAGTAGCTATTTTGGATAGATTGATTTTGGTCACAGACATGTTCGTAGTAGCTGAACAGTTCTTGAACACAGCAATAGCCAAATGAGCTCAAGTCCTTAAGGCCCAATTTCCTTCCTTTCCAAGATTACACTTAGAGGAGTTAAGGATTTAAAAAGTCATGTAAGGTTTTTTGATATTTTTTTTTTGTCTTTTACATATGCAGGCAAAACCACAAAATGGTAGCAAAGGCTTTTGGCTATTTACCTTCCCATTTATAGAATTTTACATTGATGTGAACAGCTACCAGAGTACAGGTATTAGTGGAAACAGGGCCAAGGCAGCTGATCACTATGTCACTCAGACTGATTTTGATTAAATTTGTGTCAGTAGGAAAAAGGAGTGCTGAGTTCCACAGATCTGTGGAGTGGTTAGATTTTTTTTTTTTTTTAAAAAAAAAAAGGATCTAGACAAATTAGTGTGCCCATAAGCCTTTTTTTTGGGGGGGGAGGGGGGGGGCGCAGCTTGACTAAATATAGTGCAGTCATGCTAGTAAACTGCTTCATTCATCTGTGACAAACTTCTACTCCAGCTATGCTTTAAGAAAAGTGAGGTACCTATCATCTGAGTGTTCAAGTTAAATTACTTAAGTTTTTGGTGTAGTGTGAACTGTTTTATCTGTCTATAATATTTAGTGTCTACGCAAATGGGGTTACAGAAGATGTGAGGACATTTGTTGGATTAAAACAAATAAGAACAATCCTGGAAAGACCAAGACTCTAGACCCTAAGGCTGTTTTCCAAAGAACCAAGGTAAAGGTTTGGCTCAATTTTTCCTCTGTTCCCATCCTGTCTCTCAGTGCTGATGAAACACCCGGTGCTCCACAGCAGCTGGTGACATGCTTTCAGGAAAGCAGACATGAGGACTTCAGAGCTATGGTCTGGAAAGCATATTATATGAAAATAAACATATTCCTAGGATGAATGGTGAACTTCTGTCCCCTTCCTGACTTTAGTCAGTGTGAGGTACAGAAGTTTCATCTACATTTAGCACTGCTTGGTAAATTTCTGTTGTAGTCCTCTAACTGTGATGCACATTTGAGCCTTATTGAAATGTAGGTAGCTGAGGAGGGTTCATAGATCAGTGGAACAAGAATGAAATCCTGAGAGGGAAAATGGAAACTAATAGGAAATGTTACTATACATTGCAATGTTTTGACTTCTGGGTTGTTCTCAGTTATGGGTGAATGGTAGTTAGTTTGTCAGCAATACCTTTTGTATTGCTCCTTTCCAGGTTACAGGAGAAGTCTTTCTGGCAGAGGAACACCTTTTGAATGGAACTAAACTGAGCAGTAGAATTTGACTAAATTTTAATGTCAAGAGAAGTCTTAAAAACTATAAATTATAAATGGATTTAGTCATAAAAATTACCTCTGGAAGTCTGGCTAGTGGTTCTAAATGTGCCCATGCAAGTATCTGCCCAGAGCTTGAATCAGACAGGGGACTGTTAGGCAACACGGCTCAGTCAGCATCTCTTGACTCCCTGAAGGTGACTGTAATGCACAAGTGACAGTCAGCCTGGTTTAAATTAAACTGTTTCTTAGGGATGTGTTGTGAAGGATGTCTGTTGAAGAAAGTGCAGAGAGAAAAAGTATCCTGATTTAAGAGACTTAATGTATGTTACTCAAAAATCAGAAAAATGTAGATGGGGTTAATAAAGAGTTGGTTTGGGTATATGTGGGTGTAACTGGCAGTTCTACTGAATACATGGAGTTGGCTGACTATTTAATAAATCAAAGTGTCATTAACATCAGGACTCATTTCACATTCATTAATCTTTTGTTAATATTTAACATCCTCAATGCTGTCTCAGATTTGCTATTTTTTTAGGAGTATAAACTTCCCTTTAAGATATCTGGAAACTTTCTTTGACTTGCATTTACATTAATTTGAAGTTTGTTTGAAAGTGTGTTATATTGGTTATAAATATTTAAAAGTATAAATACAGTATGTTTATTGCATACAGTATTGCAAATATGTGCAGCTCACTCATGAGGGAGGTTAAAACTAAAACAAGGAGGATTTGGTGGGGGGACTTTATGTCTTTGTTTAACAGAGGAGAATAGTTTCTGGGTATTGGAGAATTTCTCTGTTTATTGAGCAAGGGTTGGAGTGAGGTCACTATCTCTAATAAACACTGAAAACTGAGCTAGCTTATTCTGATTAAATAAATAGTCTCTTGTGCAAGATGTATTTACCAGCTATTGCAACAGCAAATGCTATCTTATTGCATTTAGTTTAGGCATCTCTCTGGATGGATGCTTTATGCTCTGCCACCTGTTAGAGAATCTAAGGTACTAATGAATGACATTCCAGGTGTTAAGAAAATAAAATGTGTTTGTATATGAGGCTTTGTTTGATGGGTAATTTGCTTAGCAGTATTCTGCCTTTAGTTAAATTTAAGGTCCAAAAACTGTGTAGCATGGGTGCAGTTGACCAATTGCGTAGATTTGATAGGTCACCTATTTTGCCTTTCATATTTATTCACTAACTCTTGCCAAAAACCTGGAAATGATTACATACTCTTCTGCAACTTTTTTTAGAGCCATCTGGTGGCGCTTAGTGAGTCAGTGTTTTATGATACTGGGAAAATCACTTATCTGAGCTTAATATTCGCAGAAACAGAACTCTGAAATGAATATGTAGAACCCTCTTTTCATCCTGTACCAATTATGGTGATTCCTCATTCATAGATTCTACATACTAGTCACTTAAATTAATCTACAGCAGTGTTTTTTGAGGAAAGCAATGCATATTGCAGTTAAAGAACATTTTTAATGCTGATGGAGTTGTCTGAGAGTGCACTGACAGTTTGATAGTGGGTTTACATTTTTGATGCAGTGATACCTTCTAGAAATGAATCTGAGGATGAAGGGTACTTCACATTGTAACACATGTGAAAAAGTAAATCTTATTTTCACTGACTGAGAACTTTGAAAATTATTTGTATGAATAAAGTTAGGATCAGAATGCTGACAGAAGTATTATTCATATTTAATAACTATTCCCTTACACTTGCCATCACCTTGTACTCTCCTTGTGGTGATTTCCCAGCCTTTCCAGCTTAAAGCTGTAACTGCTGTAATTGAAGAAGTCCAAATACCTTATCTCAGCCTCTATTTGTAGTGTAGTTCATCAAGTCAGATAGCTCAAACTGCTCTCTGCGTTGTTGTCAAAAGGCTCTTTTGGTAGCTCCAGCCTTTTCTGTTCTTCTAGTTCGTGCTTCAGACTTTTCTCTGTGTAAGAGCAGGATCTGCTCTGCCTAGAATTTCTTTTTCTCTCTGTTGTGCCCAAACCATGGACATCTGTGCTGTAGCAGTATGTGCGGCTTGTGACAGGTGCTCTTCTGTGTGCTGTGTGCGTAGGAGCACTGCCTCATGGGCATCAAAGGAACTGTGCGTCGCAGTACAGACGGTGACTTCATCCATGCTAATGTTGATATTGACCTCATCATCACAGAAGAGCCCGAAATTGGCAACATAGAAAAACCTGTAGAGATTTTTCACATCATTGAGCATTTCTGCCTTGGACGACGACGTCTTCATCTTTTTGGACGAGACAGTACAATTCGACCAGGTAACAACATTTATTTTTGTCAAATAGTAAAATTTTAATTTACTTTAATAACCCTTTCTCATCATCTGAGGCCACTTGATGGGGACTTTTGATGGAAGCTGAGGCAATAATGGTTGAGCCTAATGCAAGGTTCTCTGCCAGGACTTGTAGCGACTGCGTGGCTTTATTTCTGTGCATAACTGTGCAGGTACCCCCATTTCTCCACCATGGGATTATGATACCACAGAAAGCCAGACAAGTTTTCTTGGTGACTTCTCCATGGTGGAAATCTAATCAGGAGTAAGAAAATCTACTAGAGGGAGATGTTTCCCAGGTTTCCTACCCCCCTTCTTGGGCAACTAACCAGACTAATGTTCAGCAACAGAGTGATTGTGGCATCACTTGACAGCTCTCCCAGCACTGTGACGATAGCAAAGTGACTTCTACTCTAGTTAACATTCTGTCTTTGATGATCAAGCGCAGAAAATTTTGCTAGAACTAAAGATCTCACATGGGTATTTTCTTAGCAAGAATGTCTGTCTTAGGCTGGTTCATCAGCCTGTGTTGTATGCGCATCGTCTAGAACCCTATTAAGTGGTATTACAGTTAGGTTATAATTTCTATTATTATGATGATGTCTGTACTCTCCTTCATCACTTACAACAGATTGAAAGGCCTGACCATTGAAACAAATAAAATGCAGTTATCTTCAATCTGATCCACATATTTCTATGCATTTTTTTTATCACGTCATATTTGTTTCCTTTCTATTAAACTTCTGGTTTTTGACATCATAGTGAAGTAAACTTCACACTAGCTCTAAAAATTGAAATGTCTTTATCATGTGCAGGATAGAGTAGCGGACTTCTCTGCTTGTAAAATTCCTATCAGTGTCCTAAAGAGGTTTCCAGACCTATGTCATAGGTCAGGCAGTAGATCTCAAGGAGATGCATTTTTGGTTTATGTGAAGATCTGTCAGTCACAAAAGAGGGTTGCTTGGACAGTCTATGACAAGTATCAATTCTCTCAATTTTCTCAGAAGAAAGGTTTTTATTAACCAGTATTTTTACCTGTTCATGTGTTTAATTCAACAGTAAATAGAACAAAACTCAGTTGTGATTTCTTTTTTTCCCCATGTGCCCTGTGTGTATGCTTCTCAGAAGCATGATTTCTTCCCCAAAACTGATTTTAAATCCCTATGAGCTTAGTGCTGGCCCTGTTGTCAGTATCTGAAGACCCAGTGTCTTACACTGGATGCTGCATCTGACGTGATTAAAAAAAAATGCATAGAAATATGTGGATCAGATTGAAGATAACTGCATTTTATTTGTTTCAGTGGTCAGGCCTTTCAATCTGTTGTGTGTAAGTGATGAAGGAGAGTACACACTAGAAGAATAAAATCTATTTTGACACCTTTTTAGACTTTTGTATCTGTTATCAATGACACTTCTGCCCTAAAGCCTAATGTGAAATACAGTTCAACAGTCCTGCTTCTTTCAACTGCCCGTGAATGCTTGAATTGCCCAACGACGGACTTCATGTTGGGGATAGTTTAGTCACTCCTCACATACTGGTGGTACTGCCAGTGTTGGTCTCTGAACAAGTTACGGTAGCAGCATGCCCTTTTCAAAAATAAGTGTGGGGGGATGTGAGTGGGGCAAGTGCTATAGATGCTTCAGGTTCATTTAGTGGGTTTGTGTAATGCTGTTTTCCCCTAAATAGAGATTAGTAGTTTGGATGATAGAGAAGAAACAGATATGAGTCTGTCCATGGCCTCATTTGATGCATGTGAATGCTAATACTTAGGATATTAATAAAAAAAGTTGCTTATTCTTTTATTGCAGTTGGGTTAGGGTGTATATTGGTATACAAGCTGCAAGCAGTAAGCTACCTAAATAAATTTCAAGTTGTGTTTCTCTCTTGCTCATACCAAGTGACTATATTGGCCATTCCTGTTCTTTGACTGGCCTTTCGCTTTAATTTTAATGATGATGTCAGTCTTAATTCTCTTGGTTACTGGTGTGTGTGTGTGGAGGGGGCCTTCTGTAGAAAGGCATTGTTCAAGTATTACTTCAGTGCTGTTGTAGGTGAATTATTACATTCATGTCCCACAAGATCACGAACTTCTGTATCTTTTAAATTTGGTGGTTATCCTGGAATTGCATTGCGTACTTTAAATCCTGTACTCATCACAGATCCTCACAGTGCTCAGTGAAGTATGAAAACCTAACATTTTAATTTTTTTTTTTTAAATGTGCAGGAAGCAAAGTAAATGTTGCAGAAATCGAGTAGAGAGAACAGTGTTAAAGAACTGATCTTGGGTTTTTTTATTCTTGTTTTCCTTTTAAGCATGTTGTTGATTTTCTTCATTAATATGATACAACTGAAAAATACATTCTCACTGGTATTTTTAAGTGGCCTGCGCCACATTTTTGATCCAAAAGCTACTTTAGCTCATTATATGGAGAAACAGGAGGGTGCTTGTTTTAAACATTTGGCTGCCTTGAATCACTTGGTGAGGTTGAAGTGCCCACTTTGGGCATAAACAGGTTAATTTAACTCTTTAAGCTCTTTCATATCACATGGGCTTCAACAGAATTGTTATTTTATTGTTTTTAGATATGTAGTTGCAGCATACTGTGCTCTTGGCTTCACTGACACAACTTATTTCTGGAGATATGATTACCTAATTCAAGTTAAATTGCCCTTTAAAAAGAGGAGGAGGCGGATGATGTTGTTTTTAAACTAGATGAATTTACTGATCTGGTTTAGTCTGGTCCCAGAGGGGCTTGAAAACAATGTTGTGTAGGAACAAGCCGGAAGGAGGGGGAAGGGGTCTTGTGAAACCACAGCCTGAATGTTCCCACAGCCATGTGTAATTAATAAAAAACCAAAAGAACAACCCTTAGAAAATATCAACCTAAAATCTTAACTATTCAACAGTTTTGGCTTTCCTAGGGGTGACTTTTTCATTCCATTCAATACAGGTGATGTGTGTGTAAACAAGTGTCTGTCCCTATCACTTGAGTGTTCATTTACTAGGAAAAGACCGTAATGGCCTTGAAGCATGAAGTTTGTTTTTGCTTTGGTTGACTCTGGTTTTGTTCCCTAGGTTGGCTGACTGTAGGACCCACCCTCACAAACAGCAATTTCAATGCAGAAACATATTCTTCATACTTCGCAGCTCCAAATTCCCACCTGACCGGCTGTACTGAAGAGATTGAGAGACTTCGGCCCAAGTCACCACCACCCAAGTCCAAGTCTGACCGGGGAGGTGGTGCACCAAGGGGAGGAGGAAGAGGAGGGACTTCGGCAGGCCGAGGAGAAAGGGGCAGAGAGAGGAATAGAACTAACTTTCGGGGTGAGAGGGGTGGCTTCAGAGGGGGACGTGGAGGTACCCATAGAGGAGGCTTCCCCACCCGCTGATGACTGTTAGGCAATTGCTTCTTCCCTCGGTCTTGTGCCTCATCCCTGAATCGTTTTCTTAGTCTTTTTTTTTTCTGAAGTGAATTATTCTGGGGACTCAAGCCAGACGACTTTTAAAATTGGTGTTGGTGCAAGCAGCGACAGTCTGCACCCAGCCTGGCACGTCGCCTCACCCCACAGGCAAGGTCCCGCACAGCCTCCTGCCAGCTGCTGCGTGTCAAAGCAGAGGGAGCCATCTCTTCAGAACCACAGATAAGATTGAACTGAAGATACTTGCTCTTCCCTTATGAAACGTGAAAGGCGTTTATTAACTGTCATTTTCTCCAAAACAGGGATTCCTGTTCAGGTTTGGACTGACTTGGGTTACTTGTGCTGGAGTGGGCATGAAATGCAGTTCTGACTGCATGGCCATGGCAGACTTACTCTCTCATTCATGGAAGAAAAAGTGCTGTGTCTATACTGACACCTATTTTAACTTCTCTGAAACCAAGGAGCAAATGGAGTAAATAGAATTCTATTTTTTTTTATTTGGTTTAGATTTCCCAAATTATTCCTGGGAATAGGGAACAGATTTATCTTTCACTTGTGGTATGTGTGCACGCCCTTTTCACATCTCTCGTGGGCAGAGTGGCAGTTCTGTGCAGTCCTGTGTTTTGCTTCTCAGAAAGCAGGAAGTTGTGCATTTATACGCCGTCCAGAACTTCTCCATAGGGCTGGATTGCTTCTTGAGTAGGGGTTTTCACCCAGCGTCTGTTCATAATAGCCTTGTTCTTTGGTAGGGAAAAACAGCTTTATTGCAGAGCAATTGCAGCCTAAGTAGTAGAAAGGCCTCACTGGAGGTCATGTTGGGAAGGGGCAGTGGTGTAAGGGAGAGTCTGTCCTTAAAATAATCACCTGTGTAGTGAGGGCCCAGTAATCAAAAGGAGAGTTTTACTTTGCCTGTGAATGTTAAGCACACTGGAACTAGACTGTTGGTGATCAGCTCCGGAGTACAGTGCAAAATGAAAGCGATTCAGTTTGGTATGTACAATATTTGTTTTTAGCAAAACCACTGAAAGCAAAAACCTCTGAACTTCTTGGTCAGTACTTGGTAGACTGAACAAACCTGTCTGTCGGAGTCTCAAAGTCTTAGGTGTGGATTTTGGAAAATTGGCTTTTAGGTCTCATTGTTTTTCCGTTGGAGCCTAGCTTTTAAATAACTGTCCTGTAAACTAGTGGATTATTAAACTTGTTTATCAAAACTGACGTTGAAACATTTTTCTTAATATTTAATGTGGGTTTGTTCCCCTTGAGGTTTTGGAATTGCTTGAGTTTAGTCTGGTTTCCTCCAGAAACTGTTGTGCCAGCGCAGCAGTAACTGTTCTTTTGGTGCATGAAACCTTCACACAGACATTTTTGTAGGGGCTGGTCAACTTCGTGGCCTTGCTAGTGTACTGAGGGACTGCTGAAGCGCTGATGAAACTCACCTGTTGATTACATGTTGTTTCCTCCTGTGTCCTCTTTCCCCACCCGAAGAGGGGTTGGATTTGAGGGGAGGAGTGTGTTAAGGGTAGTGCTCCTGACTCTTGGTGCTTTCTGCCAGGGACAGCATCAGGCAGGAGTCTTACACCGCAGTAAGGAAACTTTTTCCCTGATTTTTGCCCTAATCCTGGTCTTACTCAAAAAGTAAATACTGGAGACTGTTAACCTTAGGAAGGTTACTTTTGTGCCAGTGACAAATCTTTTTTCTTTTTTTCTCAGTTAGTAGAAAATGTTAACTCCCACTTCCCCCTTTTAATTATGTCCACAGCTGATAGGTCAGTTTGTGGGCTACTCTTAGCATAGAAGAGGAGACTCAGAACTGGTTGACGTGTGTGTCTGTATCACTGTGCAGAAGTTTGAGTGCTGCTCAAGACTTCAGTGACTTGGGAAATTAATTGCACGTGGTCTTGTTAAAAAAAAAATAAATTTCTACCAAATAAAATCCCTCTGAGTGTGCAGAGTTAGGTTTTTCATTTTTTCCCTCAAAGCTGAAATAGCTAAAGTAGTGAAAGGAAAAAAAGAACATTGCTCCAGAGAGTGTTAGATTACATCTCTCCAGATGGGCGTGCTTCACCAGGGAGGTGTAATGTGGGCATTGTTAACAAGCAACTGACCTTACTTTTTAAATTGAGGTTAATGGACAAGGAAATAGACCTGTCTGCATGTCCTCTGCAGCCAGACACCTGTTGGTTGTGAAGGTGGTGCTTCCACAGCGAGAGCTGGCCTGTACAGGTAAGACAGTAGCACTTGGGCCTGTGTACCCCAAGGCCTAGTGTCACACACTTGTGGTGGTGGAGATGATACTTAGAAAATACTGTAGTGAGACTATTCCTCCCCCCCCACCCAGTTATACAGTAAAAACATGTGCTCAATTTTTTTTTTTAATCACTGTTGATTTGGACCGTATCTAAAGCGGTGTCTAGAGATGAAAAGCTTTTAATTTCATTACCGGTTGTCAGTTAATTTCTCAGTTGTAACACTTTTAACAGGAGGAGGATAACGTTATCATCAGTGAACTGATGAATATTTCATTTACAACAAGTAAATGAAGACTTAATTTGAGCATGCTCTCCTTGAAGATAAAAAGCCTAACATGTTTCTTCCTTTCCAATTTTATTAAATGCATAATGCCACCAGTCTGCTCTGGGATGCCTGTCTAGATCTTGTCATGTCTTTTTGTTCTGGAAGATGCTTATAGTACTTTGGATATCTTAGACCCTGTATGAATTAGGCGAAGGATTTGACCACTGGACTGACAAGATACTCAGGATTTCTTAGCGTTTAGCTTCAAAGTAGTTTTAAGACATTGGTCTCCTGTAAGTCATTGTGTGTAAAGCCAGCCATCAGCTTGAGAATTCTCTTATCTTTCTGACACCGCTGGTTAGCTGAGGTTGGCTGAGATGGTGCCTGTGCTGTGCAGGTTTGTCATGGGGCCTCCCCAGCACAGCACCATGGTTGTAGATACTGAACTCATTGTTCAGTGGAGTGGAATTTAGGCTGCAAACTAAAAAACAATTTTGATCTGGCAGTGGAAGCTAAATGGCATTTAATCAAGGGATTAATTTAAGAATACTCAGGTATGTTTTAAAATCCATGGCAGGGGGTAGAAATATCCAGAATGCACTCTAGAAAAGAATAAATGACTGCTTTGAAGCCATTACATTGAAAATGGTTCTAAGTCTTGTTTCTCGAACATGGCTTCTTAAGGATAGATTAACTGGAAGTGATAGATCATGAGACCCACTGTTTCTGTATACAGAAGTAAAATTACTTCTTCCAGAATCAGAAATAAGTAAAGAGAAGTGGCCCAGTGCAATGGGATGAGGGCCAATTTAGGAACTAATCCTTTTCAGAATAGGGTCAATCTCATGTGTGAAGAAGGAAGTGGTAGGTGATGTCTGTGGTGAAACATGAAGCAATTTAGAGGAGAATTATTGCAGCAATTAGAAAAGAAAAACAGAAAAGGCCAAACTACTGTAAATCTGAGTTGTGTCACAGTCCTGCTGTTTATGCTGAAGCCAAGAATTGTGGTATGTCTGTGTGAGAACTTCTAGAGAGCTGCTCTATCAGCATGTCTGTATCTTGGTGCCAGTTCAGCCATTACAGTGGCTTAATGAAGGCAGAGTTAATTGTATGTGAAAGGGTAGAGCTCAGATGAATTAGATGAGTGTGTATTAACAGCTCTCTCTTACTACAGCTTTGTTCTGAACGTGCCTGGAATCCCAGCTGTCAGAAGGCTTTGCAGGTAGGCCTGTGCTCCACAGTTGTAGGTGTAGAGCAGGCTGCCCCAAAGCAGCAGGTCTGTGTTGCTCACATGGCCTGAACTGACCAAGTAGAAGATGCACAGGACCTGCTGGCTGTTGGCAAACACCAGGAACAAGGTAAGGACATGGGTGCTGAGCAAGCACAGCTGAGGCAGGAGCTGCCAGGGGGAGCAGCTCACCAGCTTCCTGCCTCAGGGAGAAACTCTCATTTGTTGTGGTTGAAGTGAGCTTCCTTCAGCAGCTGGGCACAAACACTGCCTTAGTCTGTAGAACTGCTGCATCTTTTGGAAAGGTTTGTTTTTGTTTTGATTTTTTTTTTTTCACATGAGGCTGTTCTGGCACATTCAGGACCTAGTTTGAGCAAGTCTCCTTAACCTAACCAGGGGTGATGCTGACACTGAAAATCTGAAAGTTCTGTAATGCAGGATAAGCTTCCCTGGCTGTACAGGTGACCTACAGTGATTTTCGCTGATTATTGGATGCAGGGCATTGCTTACGCTGGGTAGGTATCATCGTTGCTAATTTCTCTTTGCTGTGTTCCCTGGCTCCTGAAGTCACTGTAACAAACTTCTTACACTGTTACTGCACTTGCAAGGAAAGATGGGGGGAGGAGTTGAATGAGGCTGGTTTCCAACCCCCCTCTGTAGCAACCTGGGGTACCTGTTGTAGGTGCTGCTGCTGAAGAGGTAGAGGGTAGCTTTTGGCAGAGGCTGACAGCATAAAAAAACTTAAGAGCACTTAGTAAGAATAAACATACACAGTGATTGTATTTAATAATTGCTTATTTCTTTACACATAAGAGTTGCTGGTGTCATTTTACAAAGTACACTCATTTGGAATGGCAACAAATACTTTTTACAGGGTAACATCTTCAGCTAAAAAGTGCACATCTTGGCAGCTGATTATCAGTCTGAGGATCTGTTCATAATACAGCCACCTACTTTAAGAACTCTTGGTCAATGCACAAGGATACAACTGTTTTATACTAACATGGTTAAAGGCACTTTTTTTTTAATGAGGTCCAACTCTTGCCCTTGCTTTTGAAGATGTTTTGCTTTCTGTGAAACACTGATTTTTGTAGCAATAGCATCTCAAGTTTGGAAAAGTTTGAACCTCCCATGCAGAGGCATTGGTCCTAAAGATACAGACAGACTGATGAAGTGTATCTGAGGTAAACAGCTCTGACAGAATGGCTTTCTAAATTCTACCTTAAATATTCGTATTAGCAGAGGCTTATTTTTCAAAGCAGTGACTGTTGAATAAATCAGTCATGTGAGAGGAGGTCACTTTAAGAGGACAGGTTTTAAGCAAGAGGCTTTCTTTTTATAGCACCACAAATAACCTTTGGTTAATGTGTCAACTGTCTTACAGTTGACCTGCCACTGAAATCTGGAGGGACAGATGTTTATCGAAGTTGTATTGGGAATATTCCAGTTAGCAAATGTTCTAAATAAAACCTAACAGTATATTTTAAAAGTGTAATTAAATAGTATGCTAAATTAATCCCTGCCCTTAGTGCCACACTTATGGTATAATTCTCTAGTCTTACCTGCCAAATGTAGCAGAAGGATTGTTTGATTACTGTTCTTTATGGGGTCCATTATTGTTAATATTAAGTCCAGTTATAAACTGAGGCATTTTTGTGTCCTCCATAACCCTGGGTGTGGAAGGTTACCCAGAGCTCTATTTCTGTAGAGGGCAAGGCTTGTCTCTTAAGGAAAAAGGGGATTGGTTTTTAGAGATCAGGTTTACATGAAGGACTTAAGTCCTCATGCTGAACTACACAATTACTGCAAGTCTGATTGAACTGTCTGCCCTCACTTGGAAAAAGCAGTGTCTTGATTTTGGGGTGTTTTTTTTCCACTTTAGCATCTTTCCTGGCTCCTGTACAACTTATGACTAGCAAAAGGAATAATTAAAAATGTTTTCTAAATTATTTTAATAAGTGGATACCATATGCTCCTAAGAACTGACTGTTTGAAATCTGGTAGTTCGCTTACAGGAAGAGTCAGGACTCCCAGAAGTTGAGTACCTGAGTGCAGAACTTCCTACTCTACAGCTTAATAAGTAAGCTAAAGCCTCAGTGAGAGGTGCTGTGAAATGAAACTGTACTAAGAGAGCACAGAAAAGGTTGACAGCAGCACAGCAGAATGCCCGGGCAGGGTGGGGCTGTGGGCCAGCCTTCAGGCACCAAGGCCTGGCCCTCTTGCAAAATCAAGAACTAACTGACAAATCATAAATTATACTTGAGTTTCCTTAACTGAGCAGCTGGCAGATCTCTTTGTGAACACAGCATAAGAAATCCACGTAAGAAGCACCTCCATAAATACTTTTGTCTTCTACTAGGAACTGTCGGAAAAGCATCTCTGACTGCTCCCGTTGTTTCACTATGATCAGCTGAAAAGAGAAGAGAAACATCTTTGTAGGGGACAGGAAGGGGGGAAATCCCCCAAACTCAGGAATCTCCACATTTCTATAGCTGCATTTATGAATACAGGACAGATAGAGTAGTGTAAGTTAAGGTTTGCAGAATAAAACAGTAACCTTTAGACTTGACTAGCTCTGCAAATCTGCAATGCATGCTGGAACTCAGTAACCTACAGGAGAATTCCTGATACATAAAACCTTTTACAGCTACCAGTAAATTTTGTCAAAGCCAGTGGTGTTCTGGACAGTTATGAGGAATGAGTTGAGGCAGAGAGAGGTTACCTTCATGGTATAGGGCTTCTGGCTCTGGATGTGCTCCAATATTGACTTCAGTTTCTTAGAAAAGGGATTGTCCAGGTCAGGCAGTGATGTCTGTTAGAAAGAAAGCAGGGCAGGCTGTTAAATGCCAGGCACATCTCCTACGAATCCATACAAGACTAGGTGCAGGTATTTATGATGCAAGTTACTGTGGATTCCATTCTAAACTGGGAAATGCCACCTCTGTCACAAAAATGTCTGTCATCTTAGACACATCCCTCTAAGCCATTTTTCAGTTCAAAATAATCACTCTATAAAATTTCATTATCAGGAGAAACTTGTAACTATCACAAAGTGTTTTGTTCCAATTTTAGCAATAAGCATTCAATAGGGCTTTATTGTTGCAGATATTAAAGTTTAAGAAGGTTTTTAAAAACGTTGTGAAAGCTTCTTTCCTGTAAACATTCAGAGTGTAAAAGCTTATTAGTTTTATATGTTAAGACACTTCTGGTGTGTCTTAACACCTTCTGCTGGTCACCTATTTCTGGTTTTAGTAGAATTATGAAAATCTGCCTCACTTGTTTCTCCAGTTAACAGTCTGGTCTTACCAAACCATAAGTCGTAAGTCTCCATCTACTCACAGCCTCGGTGCTGATGTGCGCGAAGGACGGCACATTGAAAAGCCCCTGGATGAGCTCTGGGGGTGCGCTGACGCCCAGCCACAGGAACACCCTCAGACCATCGGCCAGCAGGAAGGCCCCTCCTTCCGAGAGACGTTCCTCAGAGCAGCGGACAGCAGCTGGGACACTGTCGCTCTTCAGATCCAGGCTGTGCTGTGGGGCAAGAGTACGCAAGAGTTGTAGACTTGGTGCCTTCAAGGTGACTAAAGCTCTAATTAGATACTGAAAAGTAACTATTGAAAGGTTCAGTACATCATAGTGGTTCCTTTCCAGATTAGAGGAATTGGAAATCAAGCCTCCTCTTTGTCAATTAACACAATGTGTGCAAAAGAACACTTGCTGTAAGTGGGGAGACACTTCCACACCAGTGTTGATCTTAAAGCTGGCACCTTTCATTAGCCTGGGCAAAAACCTTGTTAAAAGTACAGTGAGATTCTTTGAGGATGCTGATGTCAACGACTGATAATGCCAATTCCCTATTTTCCATTACACTCCTCAGTTCATCTAGCAACTCCCTCACAGTAAAAATGTACTCCAGCGTGGCAGTGTAACACTTGCCCAGCAGACAGAATCTTTCCTGCATCTGCACAATTATAAAACCACAGCATACTGGAAGCAGTTTTACTGAAAAGGAAACAATGTGCAAACAACATACTCACAAGTGGCAGAAGCTGGGGATAGAAGAATAACTGGGTGTCAGCCACCCCCATGGAGGTGACCAGCTGCCGCTGGTACGCTCTCTCGTCCGTGGGAATTTCTGGCCGTGCAACAAGCACGCAGCTCTTCAGCAGGCAGTTCATGTACACCGGCAGCACCTTCATGGCATCTGGAAGGATGAGCTGGGAGGCAGAGAGCACTTGGTCTTTGAGACAGCCCACATGCTGGGGAATGAGCACTGCACTTTCAAACTTTGCAATACCTACTTGTTTTCTTTGATTAAACTAGAAAAACTTTTTAGTATGTGCTGTGTCAAACCAGCTGTGACAGCTCTGAACAGTTAATGCATTTAGTAAGAATCCAACAGAAACCTACAGACCACAGTAGTTGTCTCAGATGCTGTCATGATGACTGCTGCTCAGTTTTAGGTACTAAAGTACAGGGGAGTCACATAAGAAATTGATTTTAAAATGATATAAATGGGATGTGCTAATAATTCTAATCCATAATTTACATTAAGGAAGAAGAAAGAATTGGAAAATACAGTTTAAAGGAGATCAAAGGAACTAACTCAAATGCCTCTAACATTGTTGGAGTCCTTCAGCCTTCCTATTAACATCAGCATTAATGCATAAAATTACCAACTGTCATTCAAAAAAGTAACAGTCAACCCTTCCTGTTATCTTTTAGGGTGCCTCAAAATCTCAAGGAGATAGGGAAATATTCATTCAAATGCTTACAGGATGTGGCTTTAGTTCAGCCATTTTTAGGTGTTTGTTTGAAACAAAAGACAGACTTGTCAGAAACAGCTGCTGAAAGGATTTGACAACACCTTCCTCTTGGTTAAGTGAGACCTCCCTAAATGTTCTGAATATATAAAAGAAGGCTGAAATTAGAGATGTCTGGAGAGAATTTTCAAGTAATCAGGTTCCTAGAGCTTCTTACAGCCCTTTGGTAAATAAAGGACTGACTTAGTAACAGACTGTTACCTTACATCACCATGGATTCTTCCCCCCCTCCCCCCCCGGAGTTTGGCCCCATCCAGACATGAGGTATTTCTCATTCCAGTGCACTCTGCACACGACATGCAAATTCAGATTGTCCATTAAGATACAATGATGTTTCCTTTTTTTGACATTGTCTTATTTGTCAAAAATTAGAATGGTAACTAACAAGAAGAAAAAATGAAAGTTTTGTGAGTCAGCACATGATTTCTGAAGGCAGGAAAAGGCTTTCTAAGCTCCTTTGCGTGAATATAATCATCAGTTTCCTCACTGGCATTGCCCTTTGTTCTGGAACAACAGCCTCCACGTGTTATAATTGCTGCCACTAAATCCCACCTGTCAACTAATTATATTCCAAAAAAAAAAAAAAAAGTCTGTCCTGAGGTTTTCCTTTCTGGCACTGCTGATGTTGCAGGGGTGGGCACTGACCTGCTGCAGAGCCTGGCTGAGGGAGGGCAGCATTCAGGTGGGTTTTACCTGGCTGACTGCTGAGGGGCTGGCACAGTTCTTCCTGTAACACGCCAGCATGTGAGCTGTCTGATTCACCAGGATCTCTCTGACTATCTTCAGTGGTTGGCTCAGAATGGCTTTAAAAGCTACAAATACAGAACAATAAAAAAGCATGCTGAAAATGGACACGTACTCTTAAAGTATCTATATTCTGCTTGCTTCTAGTTTTACTGATCTGAGGCCTATGGCTACACGTTTGTGTCTCTTGCAGCCAGCATCCTGGAGGACATTTATTCATCTGCCCCAGTAAAGCCCCCAGCACCCCTCCAACGCTGTGACAGGACGTGCATTTCCTCTACCATGCCCTGCACGTGTCCTGCTCCCTTCACAAGCATTACGTATTTCAGACATACTGCCATTAAAGTAACACTTGTCTTTTCAACTTTCTACTACTTCAGGAGTTTCTCAGGCTCGGAGCAGCAAGTTACAAACCATGATTTCCCACTTCAGCTCCCTTTCCCTCCCCTTCCTCCACCTCAAAGTAAAAAAAGAAGCGAAACCAGTCTGTTACAACTTTACCTGACTTAGCAAAGAAGTTGATAAGTGCATCAGTCTCACAGGTCTTGTAGACATCAGCTAACTGGGAGCTGCAGTTTAAACCTATATTGTGTATGCGAAGTCGTCTCTGCCCGCTTATTGATGTGTAAAGGACAGCACACTGCAACAGAGGCACAAATTACCACTTACTTTAAAGCACAAAGCTTCTGTCATGCAGCAGCCACCTACTTTGTGCATAAAGGGCACACAATTACTTCTGAAGACAGTCTAGCCTTGCAGAGCTGTTTTTGTGCCTCTGTCATCTACAGAACCCAATGTAGATACCTGTATTTTTTATGGAAGTATATTAGACATTATACAAGGTACTAATCTTAAAATTATAGAAAATAATGACTGAAAGACTTATTACTCATTTGCTACATACTGGTGGTATCATCTGAAAACAAGAGATTGCATATTTTTAAATCCTACTTTGTAGCTGTGTAATACTTGAACAGTTCAAATAAATGTATCTGAAGAGACACCACACAAGACATGTGAAGCTTGCTGAGAAATGCTCTGCCCGTCACGGCAGGGCTTGGCAAAACCTAGTCTTGAAAAGTTGAGTGGTTCTTTTTACATGAGTTGCTTATGAAGTGAGACAGGGGGTCCTGCTAACCCCTGTGTCTTACATCTACCGTGGGCTCAGATACTAAGAATTGAGGGTGTAATTTAAGAATTTTCTTATGACTCCCAATTCTACTTCAATATAATGTTGATACTTTAATACAACGAACGATGCAAAGGCTGCAGGGCAAACACAGGCCCCAAGCTGCTGTGGTCTGCCATGCATTAGAGCCCACCACAAGTACCTCTTCTCACATGAAGGAGCTGCAGGAGCAACGTCTCCAGGGCACACACAGCCCTGTCACTGCAGCACCATGGCTATAGGGACACCCACCAGGCGGGAGTTTGACAGTGCTGTACTTGTACAGGGGTTAACTGCTGGCCGAGGAAATGTATTTATAGGGGCAAGCTAAAAGCCAAGCAGAACAGAAATAAAAACTTTATAGATAATTCTGTGGCTTCAGTCTAGCACCTGCATGCTGGGAACAGGAGGGAGCTGGCAGGCAGCAGGCAAGGGAGAACTTTGAGCATGCAGGTACTGCCCGTGGGGGAGAGTCACATTTGGCACCAGGGAACCACTCTTGAACAGAGATGCCATAAGGATTGCCACAGCAACAACAGCTTCCATGTAAGTAGTAATGCATCTTGTGCTCCAAATAAACTTACTTGGTAAAATGGAAAAAACAGCAGCTGACGAGGTCTCAGGGAATGTTTAGAAAGCACTTTGGTATCCCTGAACAGAAGCAGCATAGAGGGAGGTGAACACACAGATTGTCATGAGGGGCGCTGTGTGTGCTTTCAAGGTAAGATGCCACCTTTGGGTAGTTAATTAAAACCTTCTTTTATTAGTGGTATAATGTCACCAGAGCCTGTGCCCTGCTGTGCCCTGCTCTCACCAGTTCTACACCAAAACTTCTGTTACAGCTCCAGAAGTTTTTGCTCACAATTTCATGACATCATTACCTGTAATTAAGTTTTTTGTACCTGAATTAAGGCTCCACTGTCTTCGTTCAGTTTGTCATCATGTTTGAACTCCACTGTCACGGCCTTGTCACAGTCAACTGCTGCCATCTCTACATCCGTGGTGTTGTTCATGTAAATGGCACCAAAGAAGTCCGTAGCCCTGAAGCCTACAGCCAAATTAAAACAAAACAAACCACATCCTTTTATTTAAAAATGGCAAATAAAATTGACGTTATTTTGTGACTTTCTTTTTATGGCCAGTAACTTTTGCTTGCTGAAACCAGAACCATTTTCCCTCAGGCATCTGCAGCCTCAGGGGGTCCCACCAGGTGTCCTTGCAGATGGCATTTTGTGACAGCTGGGTGAGGGGGACAAGCTGACAGCACAAAGCTGTGCTGTGACTCTGAGACCACCCAGACCCTTCTGCACTGTTGACTTGGCTGCTTTGCATGTGTCTGTTTCTCAAACGCATTTGGGGTAAAAGCGAATGCTTGAAAATCAGGCACAGCAATGTCATTTCAAGTATGAAAATGAGGGAATGTGCCAGTGTCCAGCAGCCACACTTTTATACAACTTGCAATCCAAGATGCATGCAGAGTGAGCAGAAGCCTTACTCCTATTTGAAAAGCAATCGTTATGGAGGCACACACAGGAAGGGCGTATTCATGCGTTTTATCAGTCTATCCAATTACTTTTTTCAAGAGGTACATAATGAAGTTAAACCAGTCAGATCTTACAGGTGATCTGTACAGCACGGTATTATTTAAAATATATGCATTCCTGTTCAGTGTCATTCCCAGCGGGCACCATTACCTGTACTAGTCCGAACCCTCATTATTGCATCAAATCCGGTCGTCTTTTCGATGTCCTTCCTGAGGTCACTTAAGAACTGTGGGCTGTCAGCATCCAGCTGCAACACAAAGCAGAAGCCAGAGTTGCAGTTCAGCACTGGGTGGCAGCATCACAGCGGAAACCCAGCCCTCTCCCCCTCCCTGTGACCCACCCCCGGCATCAAATCTGTTCCTTTCACCTTTAACATCTCTCCTCTCCTTTAAAGAGATAAACAATGTTGATTGCTGTGTTGTTTACCGAAACATACGTCTGCCAGTGTCCACCAATTCACCACTAGGCTTGGACATCCAGAATTTCTATTCAGTCAGATCATCTCCTGTAATGTCCATTCTTGCCCAGCTAGGATTTTAAGGCACAGCCTCAGGAATTAAGAGAGTAGCCTTGCTGACCTCACAAAAAAATGCTTTTGCAGGTCAGCTCCTGACACAAAGTCCCCTGCTCCCCAGACACATTCTCATGACATTTTAAACACGTGTTATTACAGCTTTTTGGGGGGTCACTGTCAAGCACTTTTATCTATATATACAGGAGTATCTGACTTCCCTGCTCAGATGCCAGCATATGTAAGTGGACTCAATTTTAAGATACCAACCAGCTTATTACTGTTTCAAGACACACATTTGAGTCCAATGTGTCATTTCTAAGTTTGAATTTTATCCCCTGGAGTTTATAAGTAAGTATTCTAGAGTCACTTTACTTTTATGTTAAACATTAAAGCACACCTTGAAATGGAAAGCGAAACAACCCCCCAAGGCGTTACTATCGGAAAGGCTTACCTGGAAATTGTTGTACTTGTACAGTGTTCCTCCAGTGTACATTGTGACAAGACCCACAGAGGCTACATCCACATACTGGTTTGGGAAGAGGAACAAATTGACGCAGCAGCCGTTAGCCACACAATCCCTGGCCAAGGCCTCATATGAATTCACCTGGGGCTGGAAGAGCGTCTGCACAGAATTAAAAACCACAAGTGCCGTAACATTAGATATCGTTGGTAGCCAACCACAATCCAAACGCCCCCCCCCCGAAGAAAAAAAAGATGACGCGGAAGTTTTCCGTGAGGGATGGATTCGATTAAAAACGTGCTGGCCCTGCCCATGTACTCGTATGCAGGGAACCCACTCGGTACGTTCTGAGAGCACCACATCACTGAGCAGGCTGGCAGCAGTGGCTCTGGGTGGGTGCAGTTACTTGCTGCTGGGGGGTTTCCTTTATCCCTGGGAGTGGCTGCTCTGCTGCCAGTTTGACTGTGCTGTTCCTGCGGGGCAGTATCAATACACCTACGTAATGTGGGCACAGTGAGAATGGGAATATGACATAATTAAACAACACATCCTTGTAAAAGAAAATAAATGAAAAAAGATCAAGGCTCTGTCAGAGAAATTCAGCATAACAGCAGTCCCTTGTTAGCTTGAAGTAGAAAATACCTTTTCTTTATCTGTATTGAGTAGTTTTTTGTCATCTCTGTTTCTCAGCTTCCCTGGTGCTTCCGCAGTTGGCAACGAAGAATGGAAGATAAACAGTTTTCCAGCACATTCTGCAGCCTGTTTCAAAGACACCATATTGGCATATTTATTACTGCTAAGACAAACAAGACTAATTTTCGTACATTGCGGTATCTCACAGAACAGCGTAAACTTTCTGCAAGTTCCTCAGAGCTAAATAATTAATTTAGAAACTCAAAACTTGACAGAAGTAAGGCCCAAAACAAACTGGGAATTTTATGTCAGTAAGTCTAGCATACAGAAATGTTGCCTGATGCGTTGTTATGGCAATTTCTACACAGAAATCTGAAATCTTGATAGGCAGGTCTCTCTTGGAGACTTTCCAATTGGATATAAGCATTACACAACAAGCAACAAGCATCAGAAGTACAAATACTAAATGAGATAAAATTAAAAGGAAACATTATTTAGTGAAAAAATATTTCAGTTCAGGCACATTAGTGTTCACTACATTAGAGACAAGTGACAATTACATTCCTGTTCTAGATTCCACATTCAAATCTACACTGAAACCAAAACTTGTGATGAACATTTCCTCCTGTCAAATATATGAAGTAACTGCCGGTTTTATTCAAGTTTTCTATTCTTATTTCGAATTCTAACATTAAAGATGATGAAATTTACTGAAATGACAAACTATTGACAAAAACCCAAAGAAGAGAGTAACAACAGCAGCAGTATCACAGGCATCTTTGTACTATTAACAAGCTTTTCCACTAAAATTTAGAAAATCCAGTTTATCACTTACTCTTAACCTTGAGACAGTTCATGGGAGCAAACAAAACAGAACAGACCATTTCAGCTGGAAGGGGCCTACAACGATCACTTAGTTCAGGTGCCTGACCACAAGTTACAGCAAAGCGAAAAGAAAGCTGATGAGCAGTTGTGAGGTCTCCAAGTACTGATGAAGCTGGGTGAAGGGAAGGGAGGAAAGAGGGATCTGTCCTTTTCCAGCTTCAGACTTCACCACACATCCAGGTTAAAACTGCAGTAACCCAAGACTGCAGACACAAATCAGTTTTCATACTCTTTCTCCTCCAGATCTTAAGATGTTCACAAGATAAAGATGTTCCACATTTCAAAATAAACTATAGCATTCTTCTGGGAAAACTAGAAATCTCTTTGCTTTAGCAGAAATGCAACTGAATACAGTACGTTACTTTCAGCAGAGCTGAAATTTCACCCCTAATATTTCAAGCAGAGTTACCATTAATCACGAATGCCAATTTCTTCAATTCCTTTTAGGAAGCATTCTGCTGAAAACCAGAAAACTTACCAAATACCTATTTGTCATGATACGCATCAGCAATCACTGATGTTGATTTTGACAAATTTTCTAAAATATATTTCTAAAAGCATCTTAAAATTAATCTCAAATAGGAATACAATCCATTTTATTCTTTTTAAACAAGAATTGTTTTCTTGAGAACAGGTATATATATATATTAATAATTCACAGCGAGAATCCTTACAAGTAACAACTTTAAAATACTGAGCTAAATACAAAGCTTAATTAAGAGCTCCTTGCTCTTACAGCCAACAAAGGAAATTTTACAATTACAGCCCCCCAGTTTGCTTTGTAGAAATCAAGTATTAGGGCAGAGCATACTGATGAAAGAGGTAACCAAATGTTTTTTTCACACACATACCTTCTGGCGGTGTGAATAAACAACAAGAAAATAGGTATTAATTAAATACTTAAGAAACAGACTAAGAAACGTTATGTATTTTCGATTCAACAAATTTATCTACCTAAAGTTCAAGCTTTGCTTATACACAGCTCACAGAAAAAGCAACTATTTTAAAACACCACTAGCTGTTTTCTGCCCCTACAAATCTTGTGGTGAACCACGGTGGCATTCTTTTATTTGGCAGTGCTCCATGGAAATGTCAGCACTTTAGGGGATGTCCTGGACATACAGAAAGCAACTGGGGATGCATCTTGACCTGTGGATTTATTTTCAGCTGTACTCAAGCTGTGAGAACTTGTCAGTTAAGCAGAAACCCTCCAGCCCCCTACCCGATTCAGTCATAAATAATCATAAATATCTTGTTTTACAGAAGAAGTCTGCAGAAGCAGAACAGACAGGGCAAAATCCTATCTTCTGCTGACTCTTCCTGCCCTTCACACACGCAAGGACTGGGTATCTGTGCAAACATCCGGAGTATCTACTAGTTCTGTTGCAGTAACCAAACACTTATTTCTCTCAAATGCTGAACGAGAAACCGACTCCTGCTCCTCATCATCTCCTCCACATTCATTTCATGTAGAATAGACTCTAGGGACTGGTTTCCCTCAACAAGCAAAATCTGGAAACAGATGTTACGCTTGTCAGTGTTCTCATTTTGACTAAAGCAGTTCAAAAAAGTACTCTTAGAATAACAGAACATTAGTGCTGGAAACAATCAGCGACTTTTTTTTCTAATTTCCCATTGTGATTTGTAGGAGGACTTGGGACTGGCTTTTAGCAAACAGAATTTCTGCAGTTTATCAAGTCCTATTCTCATTAAAGAGCTGCTTCTCGTACAGAGAGGCACATTCTCACCTTTAGGGCCTCCATGCCAGCCTGGATAACAGGAGCAAAGATAGTCTCACTCTCGTTAGTGTCCGCAAACATCTCTGGAATCTGGTCCAACAAGCTGTGAAAGAGGAAAGGATCAGTCTCGACTGGTTAGCCTATTTGGGAAAATTCCCAAACATACCTTGTAACATACAAAGTCTTCAGACAGGAAGATGTTTTCCATGCAAAGTTGTATTTTAAAAAAATCAACAGGAATTTTGATTTCTTAGGGTTCCAGCCAGAACAAAACAGAATATGAATTTTTACATTCTATGAGATGCACTACTTCAAAGCTGGTGACAAAAAGGAACACGCAGTAAATAAAAAATAGCTACAAATTAAGGAGTTCTAATGTGCTGTAAGGACTTAGGAGTCCTTAGATCATATCCAGGTGTGCATCATATACATGGCAAGAGGAAAAACATGGAACATGGCACACCCCCCTCCCAGTCTGAAGCAGCACAGCTGAAGATGTATGGTTTACACCTGGCCTAAATATGCTTTCAAATTCAGCACTGGGGGTTGTTGATAGCCCTTTTTCTTTGCCTCAGAGGTGGAAATACATGACTTGAAGCATCTGCTGGCTTCTAAAGTACTGCAATAAATACATGTACCTCACAAACCCCAGTATCACAGTTGACTAAAAGGCATAATGCATATCATCGGCATCCAGATCTTATTCACATATGGAATAATCATACTTTACTTGATAACAACAGATCGAGATTCCTGAAAGTTAACAAGGAAACCATCCAGCAAAGGAACAAAAACTTCTCCAACATCCGAGACCACCATCATCTGAGGCTGAGCTAAGCTGCTTTTTACATTGAAGAAGTGGAGAACCTTGTTATAAGTAACAAAACCAACTCGAATTGCTGAGGATTCTTCTTGCTCTTCTCTGTAAGAAAAACAAGAACAACTGGTTATAATTTTGAAATTCTGACCTTGCAATAAAAGCATTCCTTTGAAATGCAAGGCTGCCTTCAGATCATTATCTGTACTGGGAGCAACAAAGCAAACAATCACCAAGCAGATGTAACAGCCTCAATCTTCGCCTTAGGTCAAATTAAAACACCCTGACAAGATCAACTGCTGTATTTAGTTGTTTGTTTGTTTGTTTTTTTTAAAAAAACATATTTATGTCAACCCTATCAACTGTACATCCCATCCAAGCAGTCAAAAGTCCCTGACATAAAGAATAAACCATGCTGTCCTCAAAACATGGAAAAGAGAGAGAGAGAGAACAGGACAGTTAGTTACCAGATACAATCAGAAAATCAGCTTTATTAAGAACACACTGTATTTCAGTGACAGTAACGATCGATGCCTAGTAAGAATAGTAACTAGGCTTGAATAATGTCTGATGACTTTGGTGGGTCAATCTTCACCTTCAACAGCACTAGTTATAAGCAGCAAAAGCTCCACAGCTGTACATCACACAGAAAACACACTGTAGACACGACTCCTTATTGCTAGGATGTTCCCAGGCCAACCAATGCCAGCCAAGTGCAGGAACACCACAGGCAGCAGGCTCAGCCTCTGCCTTTGAGGCCGTAACTCCTCTAAGCAGCAACCCACTCTGCTATCAGTAGCAGCATTATTAATAGTACTAGTTAGACCCTTACCAGGTTTGCAGTCCTAAGGTTAGTGAGCTTTTCCCTAAAAGGCAATCCCATTCAAAAATTTGGTCTTAGTTACTAATAAAACAGCATCTTCTTGTAGCAGGGTGTTCTGCTTGTAAATGACAGATGAAGCCTTTAGACAAAAAACGCCAGATGGGAAGCCTGCGGTACCTACAATGATTACAGGTTCTGTACAACACTAGACATTTCAGCAGCCTACTTCACTTCTGGTGAGATGTCAGAAAACCAGCAAATACCGAGTCCGTAATCTAACGCTTTTGCTTGTTTTGCATGTTTGAAAGTTTCATATTCAAAGTACTGCAACTTGGAAAACCTCATTCAATTCCTAGTTCTGCCACTGATTTAATTTACAACCGAGAGGAATTTATTTAATCTCTGTGCCTCAGTTTTCATTTGTAAAAGGGGAACGGCAAGAATTATTGTTTAATCTCACCAGGATGTACAACAAAGTTCTTTTGAGACTACAGCAATAGGAACCACAGAAATAGCTATGGTGATTTTACTGTCTTTAGTTTATAAAAGAAGTCACTCACAGACTGTAAAAAATTTCACACAAAGAACTATGCTAATAGACAAACAGGATTCCATAGCGTACCCAGGCTCATACAGATGTTACTATCACACCAAAAAAATTTAATAACAGAGCCCTACCAGAGTATTTCCAATTACTAGGCACTTTGGGAAAAAAAAAAAAAAAATCTATTTATTCTTCACTCTAACCTCTGAAGAAAGAGGGAGTGTTAAGCATCATCCTGAGCCTTCACCACAGTAAAGCAGCCAGAGTTTGAAAATATTTATCCTCCTGATGAGTATAAAGCCTTGCCCCCCGCCAAATCAACGGCAAGGCCTCCTTCCCATTCCACTGCAATCAACAGATTGCATTTCACGACTTCACAACTGCTTGCAGAATCAGAAGTCAAAGCAAAGAGGAGAAACACCACAAATAGACTTCTGCTGCAATTCTTGTTTATTTTTTCTTACAGAATACAGAAAAAAAAACTCTCATCCTTCTTCCTGGTTGCCAAATCTGTTTGTCTTCAGAGAAAGAAAAAAAAAAAAAAATTGTCATTGGCAGTTTCACAAGCTTCATCTAAAACCTTGAGTTTGGGAGAGAGATAATTCTCATGTACAATCTTTAACTCTCGTGTCAGTCTAGAATGTTAGTCTACCATTTATGTTTTATGGGAACACAGCTGGATGAGAAAGGGGCTACTTTGATCTAAACCAAATCAACATTCTATACTGAACACACTCCATAAAAAAATCATTTTAAGTAATTCCTCCAAGATATGCTCAGACAGATGCATCATTTCTGAACGTAAATTTCTAATGATTCCCAGCACTCGGACACTTACATTTTCTTAGACACTTATATTTTCTTAGTAACAGGATTAACAGGGAGCATTCAGGAGTTTGATGAGAACAAGGTATTAACAACTTTCTGGACATACAGCACTTTCTTACTTCAAAGAGAAGTACCCACATCACCCTGGTAGTCCCAAAGTTGTTACACAGCAGTTATTTGGGACAATTTTTTTGCATACGGCTCTTACCTGTGGCAGTCAGTACTGCCACACTTCATCCTATCTCTTTATCATAGTTTTAAACACTAGCTGTAAATGTAGTGGCTGATGGCCTGTGTAGCTCACACATTTAGGTTTTTTTAAAGCCTCAGGATGTCTGCACAGAAATGCTTTTTTTTTTTTAATTATGCACCTAAAAATCATATTTGCACAACTAGTTAGCCTGACTTTCTGAGCTCAGATGTGTAATTCCTATAAACACATTTCTCCCTATTTCTCTAAATACAGAGTCAGGGGCTTCTGGTTTGGAACACGTAAGTTTGAAAATATCTGCTCTAAAATTTCTAGCAAGCAAATAATGTCTTTCCTGCTGTGCTGCAAGTCTACAAAAACACCAGGTCTTGAGCCACCTGCCTTAATCCTTTGCCACCTCTAACCTCTCCCTTTGCAGGCTTACCTGGCACAGGCCTTTACACCAATGGCTGTTTCATGACACAGATGGTTTTGTACCCCAAATCCTTCCTCTTAAGGATACGAGCACAGGGTGAATTCCCAGCATGGGGCAAATTCCCGGCACAGGGCTTTCACCTCCTGCGGTAACAGCAGGATATTTTTGCAGGTGTCTTTGTCCAGCAGCAGAAAATGCACACGCAGTGACCTCTGTGTCTCAGCATCAAAATAAAACTTTCACCATGAATTTTGAGGGAATACCTTACATTTTTAAAATTAGTATTGTTTAAAGACTATGGAAAAGTCTAAAGAACCTGGTCTTTAGTTGTTTTTTTATTGCTTTTTTCAGTGGTCATGAAAACTTTGACCCTGCAAATAAATTATTTAGCAGCAGATCTCTGCAGAAGAGGAAAAAAAAAAGGTTTCTTTTTTGTGATGCAGAAATACTTGCTTTCACTTTTCCTCAGCTTTCCTTCTTCAAGCCTAGGTGTTTCTAAACTGCCAACTGCTTTTTGTTACTACACTCATGCCTTTTATTATCTTCAGAGTTGTGACCAATGCTGATGGAAAGCTCCAAGATGTGTTCAGGATAATATCAAACACTTGTGCCTCCAGTGTAATCTTTAGTGACTAGGTACTTGAAAGATGTCCTTACATGGGCATCTGACAAACTAACCCCCGACCCTGTACTGGAATTTCTTTCATGCACAGAGATCCCAGAAAGACATATGAGAAAAGATTTTTAACATATCCCAGATTATCTCAAGGATCTCATCTCCCACCCTTCTTCGCTTTGCTCTCTCCATTTCTTAAGTCTGTTATCCTTCTGCAAGTACTGTCATTTGGAATGCATTTTCTTTCTGTATGTTCTTCAATGCTTTTGAATACACCTTCACTGAGAAACATCTTGTCTACTTAATTTCTCAGTCTTTCACTGCTCTCATTTAACTATGTATGTCTGCATTATTTAAACTTAAAATGAAAACTATATTAATATAATAAAACCTATACTAAACTACACTAAAATAATATGCTGTCATTAATACTGATCAGTAGTAACACTACTACTGTGTCCTTAATGCTCACAAAGCAAATGTGCTATATTTCAGAAAATGTCTATTGCCCACAAGACTGTTCTCCTCTCAGATATGTACCAGGACAGGAAAGTCTCACTGCACAGCAAGACGCATTAAAAGTTTTGCTAATTAACAATCAGAGCTAAGATACAAGCCACGGTTTTAGGGAGACTTGCCATTCTTGAGTATTCTGGTTTTGATATTTCCCTGTTTCAATTTCATGAGAAAAGCAGCATTGCCATAAAAATCAAATCAAGTCAAAACTATAAGCTGAGACTTAGCTAGTAATACCACTAGAGTTCACTACAAGAAAGGAAAAGAACACAAGCTACATGTACAATTAGTATGACAGATTCTTTCCATGCGTACAGCAAGACCAGACATCAAAGTTTAAAAACTGCCAGCAGTGTTAAAATTAACATCTGGTCACTATCACCCCCAAAATGCCTGTACTGTAAGCGTGGACACTTTCTGTAGTTTCTTTTTACTTCTCAACACGGCAAAAGCAAAGCAGACTTCTGATTCTTTACCTTGGAAGTTTATCCAGCAGCGTCTTCAGTTCATCACATATAAGTTTCACTAGGCCACTGTTTATGTTTCTGTACGATACATCAATCATGAAGATATAAGCTGGTGGCTTTGGAGGCTTGTTGTTCTACAGAAAAAATGACCATTCACATGGAAAATTAGACAGTCTACCGTTATGTCAAAAAAATTTACAGGTAATACCATATGGCAATCCAAATCCAGCATTCAATTGTTTAAAAAATGCTATAGATCATAAACAGTAACTATTGCTGAAAGCTGTCACATGTAGGGTAAAGCCCAACCCTGGAATAAAACATTATTACTGGAAAATAGCATCCTAAAGGAATAAAATATGTAAAGAATAACAGTTATTAGATAAGATGAAACACAAACATCTTCTGTTGGTATTCAAGTGTTTAAACAAATTTGCCTTTTTTTTTTTTTCTGTACCCATACTGGTTTTGCATTCCCTTTATCAATATGCCATACCATTTTAGTAAGGTGAATGCTTAAATTCAGATTGTGTTAGCATTTGCCTCCAACAGCTGTTAAGTGATTTCTAACCAATCTGGAAACAGAAAATACAACTTAAGTACTGAACCAGCATTAAAATATCTCAGTTCTCAGCAGTAGCAATCATCTGCATCCTGTCTGTCTGTCTTGCTGTCTCATGCTCCAATGCATTCTGGACAGCTGAACTGTACTTTCAGGAATAAACTGACTTTCTGTAAGATAATCAAAGCATGAGAGTGGAACACTCAATGTATCCAGCAGTGACTTGGGCTGGTATGGACTCCTTTTGGAATTTCTCTTAGTCATACTGTAAGTGGCATACAAATCGTGACAGACACTGACACAAGTTAGTGCAAGTAAGCAGAAGTAAGACAAAGCCAGGTTTTTTCCAAATAACACAATGTAATGCTTAGAGATGTACTCGGGAAGAAGATCATATAAAGTGAACACGGCAACAGTAATCATCATAGTCCTTAAAAATCAGATTCCCTAATCCCAATAAAGACAAGTAGTGGTCATTACATGGTGTAATACAATGCAGGACAGCTTTTCCATTATACTGTTTCACCACCTTTCTATAGAGAGTTCTGACCACTTAACCAAATTATACTTGCTAAACTAAACCTCAGAAAACTCCATTTAAGAAAAAAAAATAATCTAACCCTTGAATGATGACTTACCCATAGTCCCTGGCATACTTTAAACTAAACTTAACATTATACCCTTGATGTCACTTCATCTGAATCATGTAGATCAGGATTAATTCCTGTGAACTAAAACCAGGCAATACTTTTCAAAGCTATTCTGTTTACTGTGCTTGGATTCCAGTTTCAAAATCTGTATCAAACACTACTTCTAAACTTCTGTATCGCATCACCAGTTATATAAAGAATCCCTGCACAATTTCTGACAAATATATGGTAGAAATGAGGACTTGTGCTCTTGCCACATCCGCTTAGCAGGAGCACAATAACGCAAAACAGCTGTTATTTGTTAACATTTTTTGTAGCTGTTCATCCTTGTCATTTGATAAGCACAAAAGGAAATGACTTCTCAGTTCTGGTCTTAAACTGGATTTATAAAAGAATTAAACCTTCGCAACTTGGAGCAAAATGAAAAATGCATTATAAAATAATGTTAACTTCTACAAAATTTAATGATTCAGCATTTCCAGCATGAGTGTTAATTTCCTAAGAGATTTCTTTTTTGTAACATTCTAGTAAGTCGATGGACAGGTCTTTGCAACAAGACAACAGACCTGCTCAATGACTTAACAAGGGAAACTCTCTGATTTAAGCTCTATGGCAAAAGCCACTGCACCCAAAGATGCATTGTGAGGATGGCATCACACAGGGCTACACTCCAGAATAGAGAAAAAGAACTGTGAAAATGGCACAGAGCCATTCAGTACACGTGAGTTTTCAAAAGTTTTGCTGCCAGAAATCAGCAAAGCTTAACAGAATTTGAAGCAGCTACACTGAATGTACACTGCAGATCCCATATTTCTGTAACACCTCACTACAATTTTCTCCTGTTGTGGGGTTCAACTCAGATTTCAATAAAATCTATATATGTTGCCTCAAGGATTTCACTGGATTTTGGAGCAGAACCCTAGTGAGAAAGCAGAGTTAAACCATTCATTTTCTTCATACCAGCAATAATCTGATGGTCTGAGGAAGTTAGCGGTATCTACTCCAAGACTTTTAGGATCAGTTGCCTTTCCTAACCTTATCATAACCTCCATTCCACTGACAGGAAGAAAATTCTGCCTGATTTCATCAAGAACAGAAAAATATGTCCACACTGTGGACAGACGAAATCATACTTGCAGTTTTGTAAAATGAACTAACAGTTTTGAAATGTTTAAGTAATTTATGCTTTCGGAAAAATCAAATACAGTTGTCTAATAAAATCAACTACAAATATTTACAGTGACTTGAATGGGCTTTGGATTGAGTTCTTCAGTGAGTTAACATAAGGAGAGAGAACCCATTCCATTGCAACTTACTTATTGGTTAGAATACTAAAACTACTCTTGCCAGGAAAAGATTACAAGGTCAAACTCCCTTGCTAAAGTTTTCAATATTGGGAAGGCAATTTAGGCACATATCTGTCTTCAAAATCAATACAAGACATGCGGCTAAAATGCCATGCTGCATCAGAATTTCAACTATATCCTCTAAACGGTGCAACATGCTAGCTAGGACCAAACCAACGCCCAATTAAAGACTGGTGATCTATGACATTGCTGCACTATTTGTTATTCTTACTTGCTAGTCTCATACTCTGTAGCACAAAAGAACAAAACATAATATCCTCCACATAAACAAACATTAAATTCTCTGCATATTCAGCTTACAAGTGCATTTACTCTACTGTAGATATTTAAAGGATTTTGTTTGTTTTGACATAAAATTGTAAATTAGTTTGCATACTGGAAATACTCACTCGGCAATAATCCAAAGTAGCAACGTATTCGTAAGATCCCAGAGATAGCTCTGGCCTTTCATAGTGGTCTACCCGTCGGCCAATGTGGTCCAGATGTTGAAAGAAGAATGGAGGGACTAAAAGCCAACAACAAAAAAATTTGTATTTTAGGGAGGAGGGGGACAACCCAACAACTTCTTTCAACAGATACAAGGTACTCACGTAGGCTCCTCTGTTACTGATCAGGGGAAGAGTTTAAACACTTACCCAGGTTGCATTAGTTTTATTTTCCCCACATTGTCTTAAAAAACCCCAACCAACCAAAAAATCACAACATTCTAGTAAGGCAGCTCCTTTTGTATTTGGAGGATAGGGCATCTTCCCCTGTAAACGTCCATAATTCTCCCACATCTACACTACTGGGCTCAAGTAGGTAAAACTGAGCCAGGTCACTTCTCCAGGTAGGAGCCTATTACCCTCAGGATAAAGACTTAACAGTGACTATTCTGTTAGTAGATACAGTCTCCTCACAGCTTGATTCAAACCAATCAGCCAGAGCTCTGCAGACGGGCAGCAGTAAACGCAGCACGTTTCCTAAAGCCTGTACTGCTTTATCCAAAATCACCACTTCACTGGAACTAGCTCTACAGGGTTCACAACCCCGGGCCTACTACACAGCAAAGTGCATAGGGTCTGTTATATTGAGAACCTTCTGCAGCTACAAATAAAATGTGCAGAACTCCAATGCATTAAGAGATGTTGGGTTTGACACCAACAACTTATATACAGTTAGTCTAACAGTTAAGTGTCACATTGGAGGAGAGTCACCTCTGGATTTCAGCTCTTCTTTCCTCAATCAATATATATTTAGTATGATTATTTTTCATATTTTTGCCTGTAAAAAGTGTATGTGTGTGAGTGGGGGAATAACGACTTAGTTTACTGGCCATTTTTAGTCCTCATTAAAGGTTTTTTTTAAAGTGCTTTCTGACTTGGATAAAAGACACCGTAGTAATACAAAGCACTGTTTCAAATGACACTGAAACTTAAATGTCTTTCTGAAAATGTTCACAAAACATTTACATTTCTCTTTATGAGAGTTTAAATTGCTAACAAACTATGAAATTTGTTATCTGCTATGCTTGCACAAACATTCCAGCATCAGGCAGAAAAGAGGCTGGCACGAGTCTGTCAAGGTTCACATTTCAGAGTTGAAAAGATTACTGTATTAGGGAAAGCACTATACTGCTGTGATCCAGCTGAGGAAATCCAGCTTGATACAAATGTCTAGAAAGGCTAGTTCTGGCAAAGATTTGGGATTTAGCCAAGAGCACAAGAACAGTTATGAGTCACATGCAGCACACTTGAACAAATATGGCATGGTATCTTCTGTGAAAACCAACACTTGTCACGGTAAGATTAATAGGTTATTTAACCATTGCATCCACAGTCATGGACAGGACTAGGGTAACATAGTTCTCAACATATGGTTCTTGCTAGACATTTAGACCTGAAGAAATTAATTTTTTCCACACAAAAGTTGCTTTCAGTTAGCAATACAAGCAGCTTTGTCTCCCATGTTGACATAATATTTTTAAATAAAGTTTTGATTGTATCAGACTGTACTTCATCAGTACAGTCTGATACAATGAGTCAGCATTTTTTTTTTTTTTTTTTTTTTTTTTTTTTAAATTCTACATAACAAATGTTTCTACATGTTTCTCTCTGGTAGGATTTTTTGTATTTGTGAAATAGGCCTAGTGACTGAATCTCATTAAACTATCTTCTCATCAAGTCAGCAAGTCAAGAAAATAATTTTAGAGATATAGTTTATTTTTAGTTTTATGGAATTTGTATGACTCAGATCAGAAAAACACCACTTACCATCATTTACACAACTGCAAAATCCACACTGGTATCTTCTTCCACCTTCAATAAACTGCATGAAGGGACACATGTAAGCTTTGCACCGGTTGCATCGGATTGGTCCAGTCTCACCGTGGTTTACAACGTAAAGAGGTGTCTAGATGAAGAGGTGCATGAAGTTATTTTTAAATTTTTTTTTTCAAACAATGTAAACTTGAAACCAAATAGACTTTTGTTACAGATCACCTGATCAAGTAATTATTCACTGCTCAGCCTTCTCCCAAAATCTGCAGTATGGTTGGCTTAACCCCACAGATCCCCTGAGGGGCTAAATTTACAAGTTCACAGGCCACATTCTGATATTTATCAGAATGAGAGTAAGGATTCACACCAAAAGCCTACAGAGTTGTGAAAGCATTGGAAGTTAAGGGCTCCAGGTCGATTTTCTCCCACAAAGGGTTTCTACAGCTTGCCAAGAGAAATCTGCTGGAGTCAGGTATTTTGCCTTCTCTGTCAGATTGATCTTTTCCTGAACAAACTGCTGTTCGTCTATTGCAAATGGTCTCTTGTACAGGTACTTGCTAAGAAAGCTTCTCATATTTGGTCCTAAATGCTGCCCCCGCCATGCTGCCATGTTACATGGCATACTAATGTTTAAATGCTGTCAGGGTCACCAGCTAAAGTAGATGTAGAAGAAATACTAATATTTATTGAAGGAAAGTACATACAGCAAACAAATACTGTATCTCAAGCACTTGTCAGTTTAATTACACTGACCATGCTTGCTTATAGCCTCTGCCAAAAACCGCAGCTAATGGAATACATTTTCCAGATGCCTCTTTCAGTAATAACTGTGCAGCAATTGAAAGATTCCTGTGATTATACTTAATGTTAGAAAAGTCATACTTGAAACCCCTACAAAAAAATGGAGTCTGCTCAATTATTTGTAAAACTTTGTTTTGTATTTTTATTTTTTCTTACTCCCTTCAATCCCAACTAAAAATCTCTGAACATAAGAATAAGAAAAGAAATCCAGAGTTGCACAGAGACCTCTGCAAGAGGAAAAATGCTGACAGCCTTTGAATGCTCAAACATTACCACTAGCATATTCACTTTTTTTTTTAATTATTGTGTCTCTTCTTACAGAATGGACATATTTTATCTATTACACACTTCATCTTTTATTGGAGCATAAGAGTCTTTGAATACATAGAAAATCATTCACATCCTTCTAACATTCACTGCTTACATACATTTTATTGTTGGTTTATATTTTACAGAGACTATTTTACTCAATCATTTCTCTAAAGAGTTTAATGTTTTTTGCCATGGATTTTATACATACAAGTAGGTTTTTACTACATGGGTTTTAAGTGCTCCCTCCTGCTCCACTGAGATCTTAGTTTGTGTTCTTTTTTCTACGAAAATTGAGTTTAACACAAATTAACCAATAGTGTCAGCTGGCAATGTATCAGGGTCATTTTTCAGACATGAAAGCCTTGGCTATAAAACCTGCTCAACGGCCACAATCGCTTACTAAGTTTTAAAGCTTCTGGGTTTTGTTCATTACTTAGCAATTTTCTGATTATCATACTGCTGTATTAGTTTAATGAGGGCTGGATCTGGTTTGCAGTTAATATTATTATAGTATCTGACCTGGCAGGGGAAAAAACCCAAGATTTAAACAACTCCTGATGCATTTAGACACGTTGATTTAGTAATTTTAAACCTGGGGTTTATACATTTAATGTTATCCAAGAGCAAAGAAAAATTACCCTTCAATGATCATATTTTGAAATACCAAAATTAAGACCTTTACATAAGAAGCAAGAACAATCAAAAAAATAAATGCCATAAAGTTCAGAGCCTAGATGTCTACATTCTTATAAATACTTAATAAATTACCTTTTTTAAGACAGCAGAAATAGAAAGAATGTGTTTTTTTTCACTTATTACAAAGTATTTTTTAAAATGTGGTGTTAAGAACCTCAGTAGCCTAAGGGTTATGTTTGCAAAGATTTGCATGCATGTTTAACTTTATGCATTAAATGGTTGTCTTGAAGTTACTGAGATTATGTGCAGTGCATGAGGTTAAAATGTGTTCAAGTCTTTAAGAAAACAGTATCCACAGGCAATGTTCTGCAAACATACTAGGCTGGATTCTGTTTTGTCTTGCCCAGAGAAATAAAGGATGAAACACCAATAAAATCATAAGGCAGAAGCTAGCTATTTTTTAAATGAAGCAAACCCAAACAAAAATGCATAGAATAGAATTAAGGATTTTGTCTGACAAAGAAAAATCCTGTAAAAAAGCCCTGTGTACCTTTATTGATTTATTTATTTGGAATTTTTTGAAGTTAAATGGAATTTTAATTTTAGTATTTTCTTTAAATAATTAAAAACATTACATCTACAGTAAACATCTAATAATAAAGCTATCTGTACAATAATTTCAAAGTAAGCACTCAGATGGAAAGCATCAAAAACCCCCTTCTTGATGTGAACACCACATCAAGAAGTGACAGAAACATTACCTCAAGCTGAATTCTTCCATGGCATTACACCATAACACTAGAGATTCTACTCATTGAGAGAAAGTAATTTCTGTTTGTGTGTGTAAACTGCTATTGCATTTCCAACTGTCAAAATAACTTCTGTCAGGTTGAATTCACTTTTTTTTTAAAAATAGGTAGATACCCATGGGAATGTACAAAGATAGACAATACTGCACATGCATTAAAAATCAAAAAGTATTAAGTTTAAACTAATTAATACATAAAAGAAAAACAGTCATAAAAGAGATATTGTACTAAGTGGGAAAGTCTTGTTGATGTGCTCCACTCTCTGTAGATGTCACTGTATACCAGAAGATAAAGCAGAGATCTGTTTATGGTCCCATGAAGTCAGTGGCAAACTCTCATAGGAGCAAGGGAGTAAGTTAAAAAAAAAAAAGTCGTTTTTATTTGTTTAAACAAATGCAATAATCCTTTCTCTTTTGCCTTTCCACCTATAAAGTATCAGCATTTTCTTTTTCTCCTCACTTAAATCTCTACCAGAAATAAATGCATCAAGTTAGTTATCTACCATAACATTTGCTGTATTTGTGGACTTGTTATGGCCTTACATGTTTCTTCTCCCCATCTCTTCACAAACCTCATCCAATTTGCCTATTTAGACCACCTAATTGAGAACAGAGACATACCTCACAAAAAGGAACATTCAGGTATGGATTGTTAGCGTTCCAGCACTATCAAAATATAGATATTTCTCACAACCAATGGCTAAACTCTTGGTAGCCTAAATCTGAACAGGACACATAAAAGGGATTCCTTTTATATAAGTCAAACAAGTAGAGAGGCAGAAAGAATCAGCTGTACTGAGAGGCCCAACATTATAGTTTTAGGTTAAAGTAAAGGAGGGCTGGGCAGAAGAGATGGGAAATGCTGTAAGACCTGCATAAACTTTCCCTTCTCTGGAACTTCAGGGCCCCACTGGAGTGCAAGTTCTGAAAGCCAATCTGATAAACCATAACTTATCCTACCATTAGTCCAAATATAGCTGTGATAGCAAGAGCTTTACTTTGAAAATATTTCCGGAAGAACATCTCTCAGGAGTCAGAACAATATCACACAGCAATAGACAGACACAGGTGGCACAGCTCCAAGATGAAATACATCCATAAAAATTTCCAAAGGGACTGTAACCTGTGCTTTAAAGTCTAAGAAAGCTGCATTACTATTGCTTGCTGTAAAAATGAAGTCCTGACACACTCCTGAGGATTTCCTATGATGCCTGCAAAGTATCACCATATTCATATTGCAGGATCAGGGCCACAGCTGGAAAGCGTAAGTGCAGGAGTAAAGACTGTGAAGAAGCTCAACATCGTCATGCCACATCTCTAGAAAGATGTTCTAAAGAGAAAAATCGTAAGAGAGAGGGTCTCTGGAGAGCAAGAGATGCGTACGCAAACACTAAAGAAAACTAGCCATTGAGCACACAAGAAAATAAAATATATATAGCGATTGTTTTCATTGCCAGACTGGCATACGGACTGGGCTGCAAGAAAGCCTTTTGTAGCTGTGCTGCAAGACATCTGCACATGCGACGAACATCCCACCTTGTGTTTGCCTTTTCCTACCTACCACAGCTAAGGCAGATTCCTATCCACTCCTTGACACAGACCCTATCAGTACAGTGACAAGCCTACATCATGAGTTACATTTCTACCCCTATTGTATGGTGCATTTAACACTTCAGCACTGAAACAACAGGAATGTTATCGCATTAAAAAGAGGCCCACACAGCTTGCAATGTCTTGCTACACCCCGGAGAAACAGAAAAACTCTTTCCATCAGTGCAGTTTTCAGTTAGATCAGTGTCTCTACCACACTCTTACTCATCCCCACAAGAAGAGGAACTTGCCACCAGGTGTTCTACTTCTGAAGAACATTACTGCTTGAAGACATGGAGGGTCACTCTACACTATATAACACTGTATACTATGCATATACTACAAGTTGCCTTTTCAACTACAAATTACCTCAGGGACAAACGATCCTGAAAACACACCCTGTAAAAACCCCAGATTTAGAGGAGCTAAGATTTCAAGACGTGTTCAGATGAGGGCTATTTGTTTCAAAAGGAAGACTATCTCATAGATTTGGAGAGCTGAACAGATACGTAACTCCTGATGATTTCCAGTAAGACAGCTCCATAAAATTATACACCATGATCAGGAGCACCAGAGCAGATAAAAGTATTTTATACTTCTGATGTACAGCGAACACTAAACACTGTATTTGCATGGCTGATTAACAAAAAGAAAAAGACACAAACCTGCCACCTATTCCATCTAGACAGTTCATTAAGCAGACAAGCTGAGCAGTTTACCCAGGCAACAAATTCAGAAACGCAGTGTTTCTGGAGTTATTACTTACACTTACACTGATGCAAGTTTTATTATTAAGATAATCATATGAGAATCCTAAGATATGCTATTCAATATAACTTTCTAGTGAACAGAGAAAGCTGTTGGCCAAGCGTGGTATCACTGCACCAACTAAATCTTGTGTTTGATTAATACAGTAAAGAGATGAGGAAAAACCTCCTCTGGATAATCAAAGAGTACTTAAGTGTAACAGTGATGCTTTTGGAAAA